GGCTTTGGCAATAGTTAGAGCCAATAAGGAACTGTAACCAATGTTGTCTGCAGGGGTCTGCATGCTGAGAAATATGTATATTAATCACTATAGATCTAGCCAGTTTGATCAAGATGGACAATTCACACTCAGCTCACAGGATGTGACAAGGACCCCCAATTTCTAGCAGGATCACAGGTATTCTCTGTACTTCCTGAAAATGTTCTTAGTCTGAAAATTGAAACCACAAACTTATTTTTGCTAGTGTGATGATCAATACTGGCACTGTAATACAACATTATAGTGATACAACATTATTACTGGCACTGGACTCCAGTGCTTTCACTTATTTGTACAGTCTATGAAGGGTAACAGGAACCCTGCTGTTGAGACCAACATCCCAGGTAGCAGTGGCGAAGGTGGTAGAGCAGCACTTTGCTTAATGTTTTGTGTTTTTACCTGCCATTTTTTTAAGTTGACGTGTCTCCATTATCTCAGATGATTCTGCAGCTCCTAACATCCCAGAGTGGCTCTCTGGCTCCACCTGGAGGCAGTGTGAGTACCTGGCACGCCATATGGAGCCGTTCTCCGCTCTCTGTGACTGTCTGCTATCCAATGACCAGCAGTGGAGGGAATTCTGCAACAACAACAACGTATATGAGTTCCTCAAGAGCCTGTACAGTGTAGAAGGCTTCTCATCACAGGAAGGTATACAAGGCCGCACAAACCTGCTGGAGTATACAGCCAGACATAAGCTATAACCCTGTTCTGAGGTTATAAAAGACCTGCAAGGCTGTATACAGTTACATTCTGATTGGTCACTACAAGCAGTTCTTGTATCAGTCATGTACATGGGCTTCTGTAAGATTATGTTTGGTTTCTTTCTTTGCCCCTTCATTTTGTTGCTCAGTCTACCAGGAAAGAGACATAAACACTATATTTGATTGGCATAAAACAGCAAGAAATGAAACCTCGAGTATCATGTAATTTGTTGATTATAAAATGTATTTACAGTAAGTATGTCAGTTTGTAAGAGTCCAGTGAAAATAGAATGTGAGAGATAAATCAGAGCAGTTGTGATTGGTTCCCAACTTTTCCAAAACTGTTAATACTTTTTAGTCCATTGGTACAGCCACAGCAAGGATCCTCCATTGAAGTTGGTTGGCTTTTACTATCAGACTTCCTGGTGACATCCCTGACCTGATGAGATGATAAGAAAGCTGCTGGTAGGTTCTGGCAGTGTCTCTGAGACATGGATGGTCAGAATTCATAGGTGAGGCTTGGCAGGTCAGAGGAAAGGCCTGGATATATGCAGTATAGCACGATCAGATCATAGTCTTGGATCTAAGCAGGCCAGGATCTCAAAGGGCCATCTATGGTCATGCATTATAAGAGCCATCTTACTGGATTATTAAAATGTATGTACACCCATCCACCACAGTCAAATAAATTCTGTTTTTGCTTTGTAAATGTAGTTGTGAAGGTTTTTTATTTTGGCGTGAGTAAATGTTTCATAAACACCCATTGATCCTGCCAGTTTCTGCTTTTTCTCCACGAGGCATTTTTAATGACCACCAGCTCCCAGTTCTGCAGGAAACTGCTCTCCCTGTGCCTTCATCCAATCTGCTGCAGTCAGTGTCCCCCACAGTTTGATTGACAGCTGCTCTAACTGTTTATGTGCTGAGACAGTCTTCCCTCTCAGAGGTACATCAAATAGAACATAAATTTGTCTAGTGGTGGCTAACTCCCATAACCTAACCTCCTAGTAATTCCATGATCACAAGCATAGAAGATGATGAGGGCTTTAATAGGGCAATGCTTCAATAATTTTCTACTTGCAGTATCAGGGTACATTTACTGTTGGACATTGATCAATAATCTTAATTTCCTTTGCCATAGTGTCTGAAATAAGAACTGCATATATTGGCTCATAACAATTACACTTATACCCTCAAAAAGGCAATTGAAGAATAAAAGCTTGCAAACAGATTGGCTGCTATGGACACTACAATCCGGCCTGAGTATAGTTTGGCAGAGTTGTACACAGCTAATTAGTTATTGATAAAAACTTCTTTCTGTTTAACAGGTACGGCACAAAGTTCAGACAGAGAAGACACCGAGGACCCGGGAGAACAGCATACAAGTATTGTATTTCACTGGGAGGAACTTTCTTCATTCCAAAAACTTATATTGGTAAATATGAAATGTTCCGTCATTTTCGGTCATTGTGATATATCCCGTATATAAGGTAACCTTAAAGTGGAACTCCAGATATAGTGTTTTTGTCTTGGACACAGTGGTGTAGGGATAGAGCCTTTGTGGGATTTTTATTGCTTTCTGTGTCTCCTTGATTAATTGCACGGGTGTCACAAAGTTTACCGACTTGCAGTTTTTTTATCCTAAAATAACGCTGAACATGTTTCTTGCTGCTTCTTCTTTTTCACGCTTAATCAGAAACATTTTATGCTTTGAGCACCCAGACAGACATTTTCATGCATCAAGCTTGAGAAGAAGGTTTCTCCTGATGGTGGGATCTTGTCTGCACATCCCACCTTTAACTCAGACCTATGATCACTTTGAGAAATGTGCAATGCCTCATTGAAAGCATGCAATTTCATTTTCACCACATGATGGCGCTATTGTGTTCAGCATATAGCTTCCAATTTGTTATTTTGGGATGTGCAATTCTGAAGGCGCAGTAATGTGGGTGTGTAAAGTAATCCCACATTTTGTTAGATCACTGCAAAGCAACAGGTTTGATTATATCCAACCCCCCAGTAGCACATACATTCTTTCCTTCGCTCTCCAGCGCTGGAAACCAGAGAAAACACCCTTTACTTTTAAGTATGGAGGAGCATGTGACTCCATCCATGTGACTGCACTGGGCCAATCAGCAATAATGCCCAGAGAGTCCAGAGCCCAATGTAAGCTGGCACTCTTTCTACACTACTATATGGTTCACACTTGGCTCATTTCAAAAGGACATTGTCTTCTGTGCTCAGCAAAATGATGGAGACAGGAGTCAGAACACCTCCTAAGTGTCCATCTTTATCTGCCCTAAATGATCAAATTAACACAAATATATCTCTGTGTTCAGGTCAAGGTCCTCCGTCCAGAATGTTTAATCAGCGCCATCCAGGAGTTTATCATTGAGAAGATGGGCAAAGAATATGTTCAGAGCAGTGCAATGAATATAAAACAGGCCCTGCAGGAAACCAGCAACACTACCCCACTTATATTCATACTCTCGTCTGGTAAGTAGTTTATCTTTCATACAGTTTTATTAATTCTTTGTTACAGTAAATGTTTCATAATAACACTTCAGTGAACCTGAACTCCATTTTAAACTTTTAAAGCAAGCCTCTAAGGTTACAAAAATTCATACAGAGTGTCCCATACAAATTAAGATCTGTTAGGCCCAATTCACACTGAGCGATTTATGGTGCGATTTTTGCAGCGATATCGCTGATATTTCCGCGCTATATCGCTCTATGTAGCTTCACCAATACATTTCAATGTAGCTATTCACATCTAGTCGCTCAATATTGCTCAATATCGCTCAATATCGCTTGTAGCTCGTCGCTGGTAGCTTGTCGCTCCTACATGACCCTTTTTTAGAGCGATTTTGAGCGATATTGCTCCTGATTGCATACAGCCCAATAGGAAGATGTCGCACGATGTCGCGCGACACGTCGCTCAATGTCGCTCAAAGTCGCACGATTTCCATGTCGCTCAGTGTGAATGGGGTCTTACAGTCATCTCTCCATCGGCCCGTGTCTCCTTCCTTCTGTTTCGGTGCTGAAGCTTCCACTCTTCAGAATTCGACACCTGCGGGAGTGTCCTATGCCTGTGTTCCCCATAGCGCACTGTGGTACCATCCTCTGACCCTTACGTCACCACAGCTTAGACACTTAATATGCCCTCTATACTAAACATTGCCTGCATCACCACCTAATGTACACACAATATGAAAGTCTGTATTAGAATAATGATACATGTATTAAAGGGAGCACCACAACTACATACTGTATATACAGGATGGACAAGGAAGCAGAGGGTTGCCCAGAATACACATGGAGTTTTAGCTCCACCAGCCCTGCCATAAAGCTCCACTTACCCAGGAGGCGCCATCTTTACTACAACATGGGGTATTTTTTTAGACTTTTAGGGATTTGATATATCACTGACATCTATAGGTGCACCGAAATAGAAATTTAAAAACCGAAACGAAACCGAAATAGATAAAATTGTCAGGCCGAAACTGATACCGAAAATGTTTATATTTTAATTTTTTAACATTTTTAAAATGTTTTATTTTTATTTATTTTTTATAAACTTTTACATTTTTATTTTTTACTTTACTTTTAGGGGCTTTGGGGAAATATTAGGGGTCTAAACAGACCCCTGATATTTCCCTTTTAAAATAGAAAAAGAGATTGAGAACACAGAGTGCTCAATCTCTTTTTCTGTATCCCCTGTTATCAATGAACAGGAATCCTCTGAGTGTTCCTGTTCATTGATAACTTGAGAACAGAGTGTGTTTACTATAACCACAATTATGAATGAACAGGAGGTGATGTAGATCACTTCCCATTCATTCATAATTGAGGATATAGTACACATACCATGTCCTCAATTATGTACAAACACTCAGCGATCACTGATCACTGAGTGTTTGTGCTCGCTCTCCTCTCTGACACAATGTCACAAGGAGGCTGAGTGAGCAGTGCGAGAGGAGAGCCCAGCCTCCTGTGACAGCGCTGTCTCCGCCCCTACACCGCTCACAGCTCTCTTGTACCGCAACGCTCGGCCGCCTGTCACTTTCTCTCCTCCGCGCTGGGACACAGAGCAGCGCCCAGCGGGGAGGAAAGAAATCACGGATGCACCGCTGTATCGGCAGGAAAATTTCACTTTCGGCATTTAGTCAAAAGTGCCATTTTCGGCCAATATGTTTCGGCGGCCGATATATCGGTGCATCCCTACTGACATCAGCACTTTATTATATTACTATTGGCTTTTCTGTGTATCTCTCCTTTGTATGTATTGACCCGGTTTATACCAGCACAGGATTCTTATAGAATGCAGTGATACTGGTTTATTTGGCATAGTTGTACTGATGGATTGGTGGGTTCAACTGATTTTATTTGTTTATACTCTGCTCATGTGCACTCTGTATACTCTGAACAACTGTGGTGCTCCATTTATTACATGTACCATTACTCTGCTAAAGCCTACGCGGTGGTTCCGGCAGTTTTACCATGGACGGCATTTTTACTGTCTTAGTTGTATGTGTTTCTCTCTATCACTTGCACACTTAGTGGTTTAGGTCTTTCTCTTTGGGTTCACTGTACATTACTATAGGACACAACAGTGACGTAAAGGTTAGAGCGTAGGGCTGTTGAATACTGAAAAGTCTGACAGAGGCAGCAGCACTAGAAAGGATGTCAGAAAAGTGATTTTGTCCCTCGCTGCCACAGGTTATGTTAGTGACAAACGGCGAGTTGTAGCTAGAGACTTCATTGCTATAGTCACTAGCTGCAACAAAATCACTAAGAAGCATTTTTTTTACAGCTGACAGGAGGTCTCACCCTTCACTCCATCCAAAACAAAAAACAGTTTTAGCTAGAGTTGGGCTTTAATAGGTTTGTAGCTCTAACTTTCACATGATGCATCATCATCATAACAGGTAGTGACCCGGTTGGTGAACTGGAACGCTTGGCGCTGGAGACTCGGGGGAGCACGCTGCACCTTGACATGATCTCTCTGGGCCGCGGTCAGGGCGTGAAGGCCGAAGAGCTGATTAATAAATCCCAGAGGCTGAAAGGACATTGGGTATTCCTGCAGAACTGCCACCTGGCCGCTTCCTTTATGCCCAGGCTGAGGGAAATCGTGGAGGGGTAAGTCCGCGCTCTATTACAAATGACACTATAGTATAGCGTGTGCACTTTAAAGAAAACCTGTACTCATTCCTTCTTATCAACTTAAAGTGGATCTGTCGGAAGCTTTACATGTTTGCATGAACATATTCCTGACATGTCACAATATACAGCTGCAGTATCATTTTTTTAGAAAACGTAATTTTAATAAAAAAACATCCTTGAGCTCCAGTCCTGTGACTTAACCTAGACTAAGATGAGATCATCAGTCTGCTGCAGGCAGGATGCAACATTTCCTCAGTCTCCTCTACCCCATTGATTACAATGGCTGTGCAATGTTACTCAGAAGGTCACAAGGTGGGGGGCTGATCTGTGTCAGACATTTGTGGGGGCCCCCACACTGCAAGAGTTACCTGCTCTATGATATTTTACAGGTGAATTGTGGCTTTGTTGATTACAGGTTCGAGCAGCAGAGTCAGTCTTTGGACCCCCAGTTTAGACTGTTGCTGAGCTCCAAATCGGACCAATTGTTTCCAGTGTCCATTCTACAGAAGGGGTTCAAGGTGAGGCTCTACCATTTATTACAATATATTCAGCAGTTATAATGTCTAATACCTCAACATTGTGCTTTTCACTCACCTCATAGTTCTAGCCGACCTGTGACAGTGACACTGTCACAGGTCGGCTCAGTGGATCGGGAGGTGAGCCAACACATACCAGCATTTGCTCACCTCTCGATCCTGTGACGGCTCTCTGCCGTGACAGGGGAGGGGCTGCTTCCCCCCTCCCCGCTCCGATCCTCCAGCGCTGACTGGCAGAACGGACGGGGGAGGGGGCGGGTACAGCTGGCTCTGCCTCTAGATAGGCAGAGCCAGCTGTCAGTCACGCAGCTGGGCGGATCACGGCACAATTGTCGGGATCCGCTTCAGCTGCGGTGTCTCAGCATACCGCGAGTAGCAGCTCCCGATATACTGCGGCGTCTCAGTATATAGAGAGCTACTGCTCGCGGTATACTGAGCCTAGGGTGACGGGAGGATGCTAGTTTGTGTCCTCCTGTTACCCCAAGGAGAACTATGGGGAAAAGCCTTAACCCCATAGTTCTCCTTTAACCTGAGAGAGCATGTAAACTGTTCAGATATTGTCTATGTTGGGAAGTGATTCCATGGATCCTGTGCTGCAAAGACAACACAGGATCCATGTATAAATTCCTGATATTATAAATCCCTATATTATCTTCTGACAATCCCATGTGTGGCAGAGTGTGAACTTCCGTCCTGTGATCTAATAAAACTCTGTGGCAATGCATAGTGCTGCCAAGTCCAACGTTTTCTGGCACTGGGGGCTGGAGAAGGGGGGTGCTCGGGCATCTAATGGGGAGAATGTAAAACCTAAACAACGTCATGATGATCTTCCATAGCCCAACAAGCAGGCAAGTGATGCAGGAAGTTACAAAGCTGCAGTAGTATATAGTGGCATCATCCTGCTAGCTGTGCAGTTAGGCAGGTGAATGGGAGTTAGAAGACCGGCTGAACAGATTTGCAGATTTATCTCGACAGGTAAATAGTTCACGTATATTTTTTTTTCAGCTGCTGTTTTCCTGGAGTTTTGCTTAAATGTCCTTTTCTGTTTCTTCCCTAGATGGCGGTGGAGCCCCCTATGGGTTTGAAGGGGAAACTGCTGCAGACGTTTGACGCTAGTGGGACTGGACTGATAACGGAGAAGACGTTTGAGAGGGAGAACCATGGACGGCCCTGGAAGAAGCTGCTGTTCAGTCTGTGCCTCTTCCACTCTGTGTTAAATGAGAGACATAAATACGGCGCACTTGGCTGGAATATCCCCTACGAGTTCACCTCATCGGACCTCGAGGTCTGTGCTGACTTCTTCTTATATACACATAACTTAGTATTGTACCTTGGGCTGTCTGATGGAAACTGCAAGTGTTGCCCATATCAGCCAATCAGACGCTGCTTGTGGGTGACATACTGTATAGGTTTTACATTAAAGGGACCATATCACTACAGTACAAAAATTAAATAAAAGGTATCCAGTAAAAGAACATATTGCACACCTAGCTTTCCCGTGGTGGCAAGTAAAGTCTTTGCTGCCTTGAACAGCTGTGGGAGCTCCTGCTATCCTACATCTGTGCCCCCAATGGACACGGAGGTCAGCCACTGCAAAGGTAAGTCTGCAGTGTTCTATTATCAGATCTCAATGGTTGTAACCACCTGAGTTGCTATCTTGTGACCTTTCACCTAGGCAGCAACGTGGGCACCTGAAGAAGGACCCTCACACCCTGCATTGAGGAAGAGAGAAGATTTAGGAGCCAACACATCATGTGACTAGGAAATTAGGTAAGTAAAAAGGGCATTTAAAAAAAAAAGTAAACCCAGCAAGTTAGTTACGGGGGTGAAGGGTTGAGGGTAGGGGGGGAGGGGCAAGGCATTCCTAGGGATCAGCTTTAAATATAAGGTGTCCAGACTGCAGTGGACTTTACTCTTGCAGCACACCTCTACGCCTGTGATGGCAACACTGTCATCTTACTTAGTAGAAGGGGCGATGGAGAGCTCATACAAAATGACAACTTATGATGAAGTGGGAGGTGTCTTAGTGGTGATGACATTCTGTCATAATGTCAAGAAGATGGCGCCACACGGGATTGGTTTAGGATGGCTGACAATTACACCCGGGACCCCAGAGTCAGCACCGCTTTTGTTAAATTACTGTAGAAGGAAAGGCTAAATAATAATCCAACATTTAAATGTTGTGGAGGGCCGACAATGGGGATGATGAATTCCATAGAGCAGTGACATCACCGGCCGCCATCCATTGGTCTAAGCCACATCTTTGAAATAAAATGACTGGACAGAAAAGCTTAGAGACTTACATTGTGATTTGGTATAAAATGTATGCGGGGCTCGGGGGAGAAACGAGGGGGCGGGGACATTTAAATGTTGGTTTATTGCTTATCCTCTCTCACCCGGAATGACACGGATCTCCTATCAGAATGAAGCTCTGTCATGTGACATATAATACGGGCTGTGCTTGCAGGTCTCTGTACAGATGTTGGCGATGCTTACTGAGGGCCGCAATGAGATTCCCTGGAAGGCCGTCCATTACCTGACCGGAGAGGTGATATACGGAGGCCGCGTCACAGATCTCTGGGACCGCCGGTGTCTCCTCAGCATCCTGGACACCTTCTATAACCCGGCTGTGCTACAAGATGGTTATTCCTTCTCCGAGGACAAGGTGATCCCACATTGCATGGCATGGAATAGGTCATGGTAGTGATAGTAATAGGGTCAGCTGGATGTATTCTGTAATGCTGAAGACTAGGGATGTCCCGATGCCACTTTTTTAAGACCAAGTACAAGTACAAGTACTTTCCCGCAGGTACTTGCCAATACCAATTACCGATACTACTGGTCCTCCCTTGTTAGTAGGCATCGGGATCCCCCAGCTTTGGACACTGGGGCGGTCACTCCGGTAGTTCTGCCCGTGGGGCTGTCCATGGCTGTGCCTGCGCCGGGAAGGAGGAGGAGATAAAGAACCAGGCAGGCACTGCCATGGACAGCTACTTGCAGGTCACCAGCAAGCTGCTGAGGTCCCCACAAGCGCAGATGCTCAGCAGCTGCTGCAGTTTAAAAATGTACCGGTATCTGCCTTAAGAATCTTGGCATTTTCACAAGTACAAGTACTTGTGAAAATGCCTGGTATCGGCCCCGATACCGATACTAGTATCGGTATCTGGACATCCCTACTGAAGACGTTTCACTCATCACTCAGACATCCTCCCCGGTTCTAATGAGAGTCATTCCCATCAATCCAATCAGCGAGGAACGTGTCACAGAAATTACTGATTGTTCAAGAGCAGGGCAAAAGTTGTGTTATCACCTCCCCCCTTCCTGTCTGAATGGAATAATCCAATCACTGTGGTGTCAGCAATTGTGTCAAGGCCGATGCTGATTGCAAATATCTTCACTGTTTATCTCTTACTGTTTCAGAGGCCATAGGGACAGTACAATCTCCGCAATAGGGTTATAGGCAGCAATAAAATATAATCATTATTCTTCCCATGTCTATGTTGGAGTTGGATTGTTTAATCTGCTTATATTTGCCTTCCCCATTTCCTTCTTTCACCCTCATCAATATGCTAATGAAATTATTAAATAAGTACCTTTCTCATTTCATGACATACTTTATTTTAGACTAAGTGACATCATCACTGGGTACCTGTACGTCCTTGTGCAATGCAGGCAGATCATGGCTGGGAGGGGCAGGCAACGTGCTGTACATAGCTTCATGAAAACATCACAGCACCCTGTCTCAGTACTCCTCTCAAGAGCCCTCAGCCTTGAAAAAAAGCAGTGGGCTGGCTCTTGGGAGGACCTATGCAAATATTACAAAGCCTTGATGGGTGGATGTCAGTCTGCAGGAGTGGGCGTTCCTAGGCAGGCTCTGTTTCAGTCAAAGAGAGGAGCCGGTACAACTGTGCAAAACTGAAGTGAAGGCCGGAGGTCAGCTTTAGGCACACAAAAAAAGTGGAATCACTATAAGGTGGATGGGAACAGCCATCCCCCCACAGAGGGCAAGTACAGAGACAGGAATTTTGACAAGGAGGTCACACTGCTCACATACAAACAGTTAAAATCAGAGGTGAAATACATTTAAATGAACTCTGACCGGCCAAAAAAATGTGTCACTCTGCTCAGCCAGTCTTATGATCCAGGCGCCCCTGCTGGACAGCATAGCTAGAACCCGGATCTTTATTGTAGCAGCAACGCAGCATGACCCAAGACAAACCCCCTCAGCCTGATCATTGGACGGTGGAGGAGCAGCAACATGCTAATACATCATCACTCTGCTCACTCCTGTCAGCCTGATTCCTGTATTAGACTGACAATACTGTGCACGGCCCTGGTTCTGGTTTTCTACCCACCGCCTTGATTTATACTATTTGGGGGTGACAGGAAGCTAATATAAGGGCACGCACTGGTACAAGTTTCTTTTTTTTTCCTGAACATTGTCAGTTGATATTTGTTATGTCCCCGGACTCCATCCTTCTAGGTGACGAGGCCTTTACATGGGATTTATATAGCTGGGTGTAAAATAAGACAAGAGCGGGCGCTGTGCGGCGTACATGAGATGAGAGGACGCAGCAACACTATGCCGGGAATTTATCACAACTGGAGCAGCAACCAATCAGCTTCTCTCTTTCATTTTCAAATCTTAACTGAACACACTGAAGTGAGAAGCTGATTGGTTGCCATGGGTAACTGTTCCAGATTTGATAAATTCCCCCCAATGTATATATACTGCTACATAGTCACATGATAAAGATGAATACATACAATGTAAGGAAACTCGGGGTGGATCTGTGCTGAAATTCTCAGGGAATACAAAGACCGGGGGCACTCCAGCTGTTGTGGAACTACAAGTCCCATGAGCCATTGCAAGTCATGGGTATAACAGATACAGATATGATGGGATCTGTAGTTTCAGCACAGCCAGATTGCCTACACGTGGCAACGCCGGTCAGATTGATCTCATTCACGGTCACGGGTCTGTTATGCTGAGTACACATCCAGCAGTGATGATGTCATCGCTCATTGTTCTCAGACTCTACTCTCCGTCTGCTGTCACTGATCACCAGTAGGGGATGTAGCTCAGTGGTAGAGCGCATGCTTTGCATGTATGAGGCCCCGGGTTCAATCCCCGGCATCTCCACTTTATTGTTTCTGAGGACATTTTTGTTATAACCGATCTCTGAAACTTTTAATAAAGACGAATCTCACCGACATCATCATATACGGTGATACTTTATTATTACTCCTGAAATCTTCCCCTTATTATAAGAATATAATGAGAAGAGGTCGCTGAGCTTTGTATATCACCGGATCCTAGCGGACTGTCACCATTATTTATGTCTTTACAAATCCTATTTACACCAAATACATGTAGAAGGTTAGAGAGTCACATCACATTGTAACAATTGTTTCTATTCATCTCAAACTATATTTCTTTTATGTTATGTTTACACTGTCAGACAAAATGTTTTGGACGTGGATTCTTTTTCTGATTTTGTTCTGATTTCTGCTGAACATTCTGGACAAAGAACGAATCGCACAATTCTTTTTCTGCTCCAGTTCAGACCATAATGTGTTTATTATTGTAGATGTAAAAGTAAATGATATTTAGGCCTTGTTCACACCAAGCGCGAAGCAGAGGAGAGCAGTTACAGACCGGATCAATACTGCGTTCAATGTATTCCAATGGTATTTTGGGCTCTAGTTAGCACCGCAGTGTTCAGTTCCAGAGCATGTAAAAAAAACTGCAGCAAGCCCCATTTTACCTGCTCTGGAACGCATGCAAACGCATCACAAACGCATGCAAACGCCCTGGAACACAATGAAAGGCCATTTTAGGCTAAAATTATCTTTTCTTTTACAAAAACAGCCCGGAACACATCAAAAACACGGCAAGACACATTGTACTGCATGTGCAGAAACGTATGCAGATCTGGTCCGCATTTGGTGTGAATAAGCCCTTAGGTTGCAAAAGCACCGCGTGTCATAAACAATCATTTGTAATAAAATACTTGTATCCACCTTTGTTCAGTTTTTGTTGCATCTCAGTGCTGCTGATTTCCTGAGGCCTGTTTGCAGACACTTCCTGTCTACATTCACTCCGGTGATGGCTGCGTGGCATTTCTCAGGGCGGGTTTCCTGAGGGTGACAACAGTGGACCGTGTCTGCATAATGTGTTGCAATGTCCCCTTGTAGTCTCCACTGATAGCCCGTGTGACAGGGTGGCAATGCAGGAGAACAGTTTGTAGAGAGGGCAGAGTGTTGTCACCCTATAACAGGAAGTGCCTGGTGGCAGTATCATCCGGGATTAGTTGAATGGAAGCTGCAGATTTGCAGACACTGGTAATGACTTCTGAAATGAGATGAATGTGGTAACGTTTCTATGAGAAGTTAGTGATGGGCTTTACTTTAACAGACGTCTTTGTTCCAGGTATACGGAACCATAGCGGATAATGTCACACTATGGGAGTGCCGGGATTATATCAGCTCCCTCCCAGACGCAGACCCCCCTCAGATATTCGGGATGCACCCCGACGCAGACAGAGCGTTCCTCACGTCTCAGGCTCAGCTCTTCGCAGACACCATTGTCAGCATGCAGCCGAGGCTCAGCGCGGAATACGTCACCGTCAGGTTGGTGTTCACAATCTGCTGACCCCTATACTTCATATTCTATATATGTGGGGGAAGGGAGACACCTGTGTTGTCAATAGCAACCTGTTAGATTTCAGATGAGTTTTATTGTGTGAAAGCTGGAAAATGTAAAGTGGAACTCTGGGCACAATAGAAGCTGAGATACACCGTATGAGGCGATCTGTCCGCAGCATCAACACAGCAGAGTCCCCCTGCAACGTATTTGTATTACCCGCTGATCCTCCCAGGAGATCAATTATTTGTTCACTTCTTTTAAAGGGGAAGTAAAGAAATCCAGTTTTGCTGCAGATTTCACCATAATGTGTGAGTCTGCACAACATTTCTGCACATTATGGGCCTTTATTTACCCTGTAAAGTGCCCCCTCCTGCACTGCGGCCCCCATGATCTTCCTCATTGCCCCGTCACTGGTGCTTTCATCTTCTATCGTGCTCAGCAATCTTCACCTTCCTTGGCCGGGCGAGGAGGACTTTCCTTCATACCAGAAACCCGCACTTACTCCCAGCATCTAACAGAGATTGTGTGCTGAGCTGTGCATGAGCCGCTGTGCATGAGCCCCTGTGCATGAGCCGCTGTGCATGAGCCGCTGTACACGAGACACTGTGCATGAGCCGCTGTGCATGAGCCGCTGTACACGAGACACTGTGCATGAGCCGCTGTGCATGAGCCCCTGTGCATGAGCCGCTGTGCATGAGCCGCTGTGCATGAGCCACTGTGCATCAGCCGCTGTCAGTGTACAAATCATAAACTGCTAGCAGGCAGAGGGAAATATTGTTTTGGCAGAAGAGATATATGGAGCCTCTTCCACCATGAATATCGATCTGCTGATAAGTTTTTACTTTGCAGGTTCGGTCCTCCATTACACCTGAGTATTCAATGAATGCGCGGCAAATGCGCATGGAAACGTGCGCTTTGATGTGTGTTCACAAAACGCAAAAAAATTCTTTACAAATCAAATTTGTAAAGTAGCAGTGACATCATTGTGCTGTACAAAGCCAGTGCAGAGAGCAGTGGGAGGGACCCAGCAAGCTCCACCCACTACAGACTGCCTGCAGAAAACTACAGGAGGGGGCGGAGACCAGACCAGTCACCGTGCACAAGGAGAGAGAGCAGCAGTGACCGGTCTTTATTACGGGAAGTGGTAAAGTCTCACTGCATAGATCTGGAAGAAATACACAAATCATACCGGGATTGCAGGAAGAACACACATGACTCTTGTATGTAGAGAATATTTGCTCACCCCGGAGTTCGGCTTTAAATGAATGGGCACTGGTGTCATTTGATGTCATATGTCCTCTGTGTAGATTTGGGATCTGTGAAGTTATTGGTGTGCTTTGTCTAGCAGAGGTGACAGCAGCCGGGATGAGATGGTTCTGCACTTGGCTTCCAGTATCCTCAGCAAAGTGCCAATGACAGTGGAAGGAAGGATGGAGCAGGACAAGGCAGCAGCTAGATCGGACATTGCTGTGACGGTCAGCAGCTTGTTCACTGACCCTGCTTGGGATAGCCTTGTGAGATCAACCAAAGGTATAATGTGTATTTCACTTATCACATGGACGGGTATTGCCCATTCAGGGCCCAGATTATTGCCCCTCCTCCGTCCTCAGCAGCACATACGACTTCATTCTCCCATCATATAGTTCAGCCACTAGAGGTGAAGGGAATACCTGGCACTTCTGGGTGTGACCATGGGGCTTGTTGATTGGCCCAGTGCTGTCACATGGTGTTCCTGTGGCGTATTGTTCTTGGCTCTATGCCTTACTTAAAGGAGAACTATGAGGTAAGTGCTTTTCACTCACCTCATAGTTCTAGCCGACCTGTTACAATGAGACTGTCACAGGTCGGCTCAGTAGATCGGGAGGTGAGCGAACACATATCGGCATTCGCTCACTGAGAGCCGTGACAGGGGAGGGGCTAGATCCCCCCCTCCCCGCTCCGATCCGCCAGCGCTGACTGGCGGAACGGACGGGGGAGGGGGCGGGTACAGCTGGCTCTGCCTCTAGATAGGCGGAGTTAGCTGTCAGTCACGCACCTGGGCGGATCCCGGCATAATTGTCGGGATCCGCTTCAGCTGCGGCGTCTCAGTATACCGCGAGCTGTAGCTCGCGGTATACTGAGCTTAGGGTAACGGGAGGACGCTAGTTTGTGTCCTCCCGTTACCCTAAGGAGAACTATGGGGAAAAACCCTGACCCCATAGTTCTCCTTTAAAGCAAACCTGTCATGATAGAAATATGTTTGATGTCATTGAGTCATCTTTCTTATGCTGACCCTCCGGCTTCAATATTTTTGAGTCACTGACGCAGAACTAGTAGGCAGATAAGGACTTGTTTGATTCACATACACATTGGTCAGTAATTCAGAAATCGAAGGGTCACCATAGCCACCAGGCAAATAGCATTTCTGAAGGAGTTCAACAGTGGCAGGTTTTCCTGTCTGTGTTATAACAGGTACACTTGATTTCACCCATTTGTATCAGTAAACCAATACAAGGCGCAATGGTGCCATCTGCTGGCCTATTCGCAGCATAGCTTACCGGCTGGTACAGAGTACACCAACTTTCTTTCTTTACCTTCCATTGAGGGACACAGGAATTCTTAGACTTCTAAAACTGCCGGGTTATACCGCCACCTATAGGAGAAATGGACACAGGCAGCAAGAGAGCCGATGGGCAATACAGAATAACCCCTCAGAAGAGTGGACACGTTTTCTGCAGCTCTGCTGTTCTCTTTTCAGTGGCGGACCTAAGGAACAAAGGGCCCTGGTACAAGATTTTTTTTTGGGCCCCCCCAAATCCCCCCTCTATATATATTGCCTCCTCTCTATACACATTGTCCCCCCTCTATATATATTGCCTCCTCTCTATACACATTGTCCCCCCTCTATATATATTGCCTCCTCTCTATACACATTGTCCCCCTCTATATATATTGCCTCCTCTCTATATACATTGCCTCCTCTCTATATACATTGCCCCCACTTCTCTATATGCATTGCCCCCCTCTCGCACACTCTGCCCCTCCTGCACAAAGCCGAACGAGAATGAGCCCAGTGGAGTGGGCGGGGCCTGGTCAATAGCGGCAGCGCGCTGTGATTGGCGGAGGGTTACCATGGCAATAGACCGCTGACCCGGATCGGGAGCAGCACTGTACAGAGGTAGCGGAGGATTTCAGTTTGCTATCTTGGCCGGCGGACGGGGCCCCCCCCCCCGCCCCCCCCCCCCCCCGTATGGAGTGTCGGATGAACAGATGATCCGACACTCCCGGCGCAGAGATGGGGGGCCCGCTGGCCGCTGGATACTGATCCGGTGCTGGGACTGTACTGGGCCCCCCCCACCGGTGGTAGTTCCGCCACTGTCTCTGTTCATTTGTAAGATTTTGTTCTGCTTGGGCCTGTTCGGTTTTGTTGCTCTGTGTTGGATGTCCTGACAGTGGATGGTAAAGAGAATTTTTATACTCACAATAAAATCCTTTTCTCTGAGGACATTGAGGAATCTTTGCAGCCTTCCAGCCCTCCAATGTAAACACACTGCAGATGTTTATAAGCTGTTAGAAACCTTCTGGCTTCAGAGTCTTTATTGTGACATTTGAGGATGAATTACTGTACAGTACAAGCAGCTGGAGAGGTCAGTGATGGCTTGTGATAATGCTCAATATGAAGAAATGGTAAGGTCTATAGTCCAGGCCTAGGTGCACCTAAAGTGCTGCTCTCCCCAACACTACATACCTAACCTTCCCTGATCCGCCTGGCCACCAGATATGTAATCCCAGTGTAAGATTGACATTGTGATCTCTCCCCATGTGACCTCATTGCTACATTATCCACCAATGACCAGCGCTGTCATGTCAGAGTAAGGGGAATGAGTCGTGTGCTCCCCCCTACCTGAATGCATGGGGTACTTCCCTTCATTCTGGACAGCCAGACCTAGTGGCGAGGGCACAGAGAATGTGAGCGGGTGCAGCTAGGATGGGCGGCAGTTGAATGAACATGTTGCATATGGGTAATGTGTAGGATCATTGTAGGGATGGGGGTTGGGTTTAGCGATTGAGCCGAGGGTTGAGGTTTGGTTTTAGGCAAATCTTTGACGTTTCCAAATAGATGTGTTTAGCTAGCAGGGGTAGCCAAACTCCGCCCCTCCAGCTGTGGTGGAACTACAAATCCCATGAGGCATTGGAAGATTCTCACTGCTACAGACAGGACTCCCGGAGAGAGAGATGCATCATGGGATTTGTAGTTTCACCACAGCTGGAGGGGCGGATTTTGGCTACCCCTGAGCTAGAGGGACTCTCCGGTCCAGAACACAATGGAGGCATCCCAGCATCATCCCTTGGTGGATGGAGGGGAGGAGTCAGTCTGAGGGTCGGGGTTACATTTAGAATAAAGTTTCATTGGGGTGAATGATTTCTGATATGATTATTGTGGTGACAAAACATCTTTCTCCTGACAAGGTGACAATCCAGAGAAGCTGATCTGATGTCCTTCAGAGATTCATCACAGCTCCCTAGTCTGGGCAGCATTTTGGCTTCTGAATATCATCCTAAACTGGGAACAATAAAACCTTCAGGAACATGGAGGACGTCACGTGACCTTCTCCCGATTTGTATTTGCAGGTTACGATCCTCTGCTGAATTCCGCTTTACTGACTGTTCTCCATCAGGAGATTGGACGATTTAACCACCTGCTGTCAGTCGTACACAGTTCACTCAGTGCTCTGCAGCAGGCTGTGCGGGGGGAGATCATACTGAATAAAGTCCTGGAGGAGCTCTATAACTCCCTGAGCAGCCTCAAGGTGCCTGAGCTGTGGCAGGTAAGTGCTATGCTGGTGGGCAGGATCGCCATTAAAAGGGTCTTAAAGTGTATGTCTGCACAAGAAACGTCCCCATATTTGGCCTCTTTAAAACCACTACAAGTACAGAAAAGTACATATTGATCCTGTCAGAAATCCAGTGAGCACCTGACTTCCTGTAGTGAGCTGACAATGCTGCCTCTGCTGCACTGAAATCCCAACCAGTATTGTCAGCAATGCCTGCTGGACTACAGAACTCCACCACTCCTCACCTCTCTCCATATGCATACACTGGTTTCTTTCCCTGACAGTATATGTGGAAAAGGCATGTGGGAGATGTAGTTCTAGGGGTGAGCCGATATCAATAGGAACTTACCTACCAGCAGCTCCCTCTGCAAGAATTTTACAAGGCAGGAGATGTTACAGGGTATAAGAAAGACTGTTTCTGTCCACAGCAGGGGCAGCCAAACTGGCCCTCCAGCTTTGGTGATACTACAAACCTCATCATGCATCTGAATCTGGAAGTCATACCTGAGTCTTGCAATGACATATGGGACTTGTAGTTCCACAACAGCTGAAGGGTCAAAGTTTGGATACCCCTGGTCTACAGGAACAAGGTAAAAGAAGACAAAATGCTGGGACATGTGAAGGGGATGAGGGAGGCTTGGGGGGTAAATTTGGGTCATGTCTATATAAATCCTATAGGT